ACCCCCGACAGCTAATCCTTTCTGTGCATTTGACCATAAAGTCTACTCACATACCAAGCACCGCGCCAGGAAAAGTACCAGACGCCTCAACCGCCCACCCGTCAATATCATTGCAAGGACAGTATGTACTCCCGCTAACAGTGTGGAGTACTAATTAAACATTCCAGTAATGTTTCCCGCCACTATATCAGTTTTTTGTAACTTCTGATACTATTTTGCACGTACAAAACAATTATAGAGAAATACATAGCAATTATCCTCCTTTACCAACATATACAAAGAAACACAGTGCTCAACACTTCAATTTGCACATATATAATAATTATACACAAATACATAATAATTATCTCCCTTTACCAATATATACAAACAAAACAAACTTGGATACACCATATATACAAATTTGTATATTTTTGTATTTGTCATATATACAAACTTGTATATTTTTGTATATATCATCATTCCAATCTTGTATATCCTTTGGAAATATCATCTTTCCAAAGGATATACAAGCTTGTATATATGGATTTTTTTTGCAGTGGGTGCAGCCGCGGACCAGAACCCCACACCTATCCCGTGCAACATATGGCTGATCTGAGGCAGGAAGCCGGCAGACTCCTACAACAATCTCTGTCTAGTAATACATGGGCCACTTACCAAACAGGCATCAATGCATTGCACCAGTTCCGGTCCGCACACCAGCTACAAGAGGTGTGGCCAGTCCCGCTGGATCAGGTCGTAAACTTTATTGCTTATCTGTCAGTCACTCACCACTCCCCTAACACAGTCAAGACTTACATTGCAGCGCTGTCTTCACACCACAAATTCCACGGGCTCACCGACTGTACAAACCATTTCCTGGTAGGCAAGATTGTAACCGGCTTACACAAATCAGCGGGCCGACCAGACACCAGAAAACCGATCACTGCAGATCTGCTGCAGGTAGTAACCAACAATCTGCCTCACGTATGCTCATCAGCATATGAAGCCAGGCTGTTCAAGGCAGTCTACTGCACAGCCTTCTTCGGTTTCTTTAGGGTTAGCGAACTGGTCCAAACTGGATCCTCAAAAACAGGTTGCGCCATCCAGAATTTAAGCTTCTCGGGCAACCCCCAGCAGCTTTCAATCCATTTACCACACTCAAAGTCTGATCAGTAGAGGATGGGGACAACAGTTACAATGTCATCTATACCAGGTAATCCGCTGTGTCCGGTAGTCGCCATCAAGCACTACCTGGAGGCGCGCCCCTCCGGCCCACAACATGCATTCGTCCACTTTGACCATTCCCCCATTACAAGGTACCAATTCCAGGCACTCCTAAAAAAGGCCTTAGCACACAGCAACATAAACACAGCCTGCTATTCTTCGCACTCCTTCCGCATTGGGGCAGCCACATCAGCAGCCATGAACGGGGTGCCTGAACACCTCATACAACAATACGGCAGGTGGAAATCAGATTGCTACAATGCTTACATACGCTTACCAACAAATTCAATGTTGCACAATTAAATCGAAATAGTCTTTCATGGTACTTACTACCCTTCTTATTGTTTACAGTTTGGATGGTGGGATCCAGCTACATGGCCAGGGCACGGCAGTACTTGCTCCTGAAGGGCACCAGTCCAAACCAACCGAGGATGCTATGGCTGGCACGAGGGGGGATGAGGTGGAAGGAGCTGGACACCATTCTGGATGCACAGGTCAAGGCGACACGGCGCAGCCCCAGAGCCCTCATCATTCACCTGGGCTCCAACGACCTGTGCTCGGTCAAGGGCATCCAACTCTACCTTGACATGGTGGCATCAATCCTTCGGATACAACTCCAGCTTCCTGACGCCAAGATCATCGTATCCTCAATGCTGCCCAGGCGCTACTTGCACGATGCCAGGGATCCACGAAAGATCGAGGGGATGCGGAAGAATATCAACCGCCGACTGACCAACCGAGTCAAAGAGCTCGGCGGTACAACAGTGCCACATCCCCAGATCCTGGCATCAGACAAGACATGGTACGCCTGGGAGGGCGTCCACCTCAGTGACAAAGGACTGTGTGTGTTTACGGACAATTTATTGCATGCCCTGGCGCTCGTTTTGCGCCAGTAAGGATATTATCTCCACAGGTTAGTGTTTCCTTTCAGTACATAGGCAAGCGGGGCAACAATGCTATCTCCGCGTATCGCGTGGCCGTGGGTGTGGGGTAGCACTCTGGTGCTTTGTGGCGGGGTTCTTGTGGGCTACACTGCTAGTAACAAATTAACTTGCTTCCAAATTAATACTCGTGCTTAAGGCTACCTGCTTTTCAGCGGGAACCTTTCCGGGGTTACCTGCTTCTCAGTGGGAACCTTGTCTTTCCCGACTTTTCAGCCGGGGAATCGTAGAATAACATACGTTGGGGCAAACGGTTGCCACGTATATGGGCCCGGCGGCGGAAGTCGTCTTGTCAAGCGGTAGCTGACAGTTGGGCCCGCGGCGGGAGCCGCACAATGGTTTTGCTAATGGGGCCGGGCAGTGGGACCTGCTTTGGCCGGCTACCTGGGGCCGGGCAGCAGTAGTCTGACTTACGTGGGAGTTGCCAAGCAATGGTAGCGTTAAAATATGCTACCGTGGGGGCCGGACAGCGGTAGCAGTCTCAGGCCAGCAGCGCTAGCTGCAATCGCCGTCGGCCACGCGCGTGGCCATGGCAACGGTAGCATTTTTGGTATATACAATTAGCAGCTAAGTAGCCCACTAGTACCTGCACACCCTCGGCCATTTAACCCAATCTCATCTTCTGTTTTATTACAGACACGGGCATCCACGGCTGGGTGGCCCGTGCCTCTCCTTGGCATATCGCGGGATAATATGGGAAAGTATATTAATAATGTTAATGATCCACGAAAATAACACCACCACCACTACTACTACTACTACTACTACTACTTCTTGCCTACCACCATTACTACTATTATTACCACTACTACTATTACTACAAGCATAATAAAGGACATAATAAACACACCGCTGATTGCTATTGCGTTGAACACACACATTTTATGTTTGCTTATAAAACCGAAACATGTCTGTTTACGAATATATCGGATATAGAAAATGTACATTAAGTACAATGTTTGATTTTGCACCGTACAATCCAAACACGGGGTTTAAGTACACAGGTTGTATGTGTTGTAACCACAGTATCGCCTCCATGTGTTCCACAATCGTACCATACATTTCTGGCATGCTGTACATCAAATCTGGTCTCCCATTAAGCTGACCGTTTACCCGCCTCGGCAGATGTGTATTCCACTCGTCTCTTATTCTGTTTAGATCCGCCTGAATCACGTCCATACAGCTGTATCGGAGACAGTCCCTTACAAGACAAAATCAGTACATGGAAACGTTTATATTAAAACTAAGGGACTGGGCATGGTTATCAACAGAGTTTAATCCTCAAAAAGGATGAACCACATTGTGTTTATCTCCATTCTACCATGACAAAATTACTTGCGAACTCCGGTATCAGTGAAAACACTGAGAAAAGCGGAATGGATTGAGTTCAATGTTTTGAGTGGGTTGTCGATCTGAATTAAAGAGATAATATATCCCAATAATATCCCAAAACCAAACATGGCGCTTGTTTGCACAAACATATTTTTTTTCACATCGAAATACGTCACTCGCAAATATGACAGACATCAAAAGTGTGTATCAAAGCTACTTGTCCGCTATAAAAAAATAAACAAGCCCGGCATGTTTTCGTTGTTCACCACACATCACTGTTTTGATGTCATACAGCTCATTTTGACGCAGAAAATCTAGCGTCATACTTGGCTATAGAGAAGCGATATATTAAGCTCTCTGTGGTTCTTAAAACGATATAATACGATTTCACCTGACTACACTGAACGAGAGATACGAAGACACAGAGGACCCTAACGTTTTGGAGAAGCTGTGATAGACCTCACACACCCTCTATACTTTTATCTTGTTTTGACAGGTAAACAAAGCGACAATACCCTTTCTATATCCAATAGAAATGTCTGCATAAAGCTCCGACTATATCATGAGCATGTGTTTATCAATTACTATCAAATAGTAATGATACCAGGTGTTCGCGAAAGGGTAGCGTTTCCTGTCTCACCGGTGGCACCCGTCATAAACACATGCAAAGGCAAGTCAATTGTTGACCTGAACAAACATGGGAACATATGATACAAGTCAAAATAAGGAATTGCATCAGACATCATATTTGTCACTGGTGCATCAAATGTGGAAATATCATCCACATGTCTACCATGAACATTTTGATAGCTTTACTGATGCCTCGAATGTTGTTATTTGATAGCATGGTGCTCTTTCAAATCTTGGTAGAAAGAGCATGCTCGATTGTATCTCAAAAGCGAAATATGAACGCCAAAGGCTGGAGCTGCTGGAATATTGCTGGACATATGAAAGATATGAGCAGATCTCACTCGTCTCCTTTATTTCTAGTTAAGTTGGGTAAATCAATGGAAGGGAATTGGCTACTTGATTGTTTTTGAACGATGTCAGATGATCGGTATACCTGAAGCTTAAGTTAAACCTTTCTTGGCCAAATTACCTTTTTTTTACTTTGCCAATCCAAGCAGAATTTCCGATTCATATGCTTAAGGAAACAGATCCGTAAGAAGGGGAGCAAATTTGGTGCCCATGGGGATGACTTTTTCTTGCCTAAATGTCTTTCCCCAAAATTATACGTTGATGTTATCAATAAGGAAGTCAAGCATTTCACATTTTGTTTTCTCAGTAAACTTCAGATGGCATTTGCTTTCATCTTTCACAAATTGTCCTGAACCTCTGAGTGAGTGAGTATAATTTTACGCCATTTTTAGCAATATTCCAGCAATATCACGGCGGGGGACACCAGTAATGGGCTTCACACATTGTTCCCATGTCGGGCCTGAACCTCTCAATAGAGATACGTAACTGGATCAGTGCTAACCAAGTTTTGTTTCCACCATATTCAAACTTACTTCAAAAGCATTTGAAAATCATAACGAATTCAGTGAATGACTCTGCATCCTACGCACGGATCTTAGCTAATCAAAAGGATGTCTTGAAGCGGAGTCATGACGGAGTCATTGTCTTCATAACTGTAGCATAGTTTGTATCTACCTTTCAAAATCATCAGAAAAATTGATGGCATTTGTGTTCTGTAAATCTTTGAAAAGATCTACCCAGAAAGCAATGCCACCTTCCTTCATGGATCTCCACCACCTTTCTATCCTCTGTAATGAATAAAGGTAGTTATGAGTACTTACGCCGAGTACTTAAACGGTTTGTTTATGTCATTCCAGAAACTTTAAGGAAGACACCTAGAGGAATTCAATAGATATCACACGTCGTTTGGCAACATGGTACGCAATGATTTCCAATTCTTGGACCTTGACACGAAATTATGACATCTCTTAACTTACAGGCAATTACTCCTTAATACAAGTTGTGGGAATGGAGAGAGCATTTGGTAGAGCAGGATATGAGTACCTTTTGGACTGATCTTCAGTGAAAGTCATATTATAAGTCTCAGCACTATATAGCCTTGTTCGCTCTGTGGACTGTTACATTGATGGTTTTAATCATTCATGTTTTGTTGAACATATGATCGAAAAGTGTTTTGTTTGTTTCTTGTTTAACGCCGCACTCAGCAATATTCCAGCTCTATGATGGCGGTCTGTAAATAATTGAGTATGCACCAGACAATCCAGTGATTGACACTATGCGCATCGATCCACGCAATGATATGCATCAATCAATGCAGCAAGCGTGACAACCAAATCCGTCATTCGCCTCTTACGACAAGCATAGTCGCCTTTACGGCAAGAAAAGAGTTTTGAGCATAATTGATTAATTTTTCACCCATGGTCAATAATGCGCTCTTTCTTTGCCATTTTTTTCTTACTTGGTTTGAATTAGAACTTCCAATTATGACAGAACTCTCCCCTGCCATTTCATCAGTGTGGTGCCACCTGAATGATTTCTGCATGTCTTCAATGACACCGTTCTCGGTCCCTGCGTCCATTCTGATGCATCTTGGGACACCTGCATGGCAGCTCAGATATTGTGTTACAACGTTACGTAAAACGGAATTGTTACACGATCTTTTCATGACATATCAAAACTCACGATACGATGAAGTAATCAACTATACTAAAACAAATGAGAATTCCTCAATGTGATAGTTGAAATGAGAACAAGCCTGATAATTAATCACACCTTGACACACACACATACATGTGCTATGATACAAACACATGAAAACGGCAGTGTAATGCCCGACACGGAGTGTGCAAAATGTTCTACTTCATAAGAAGTACATAATAAAGTGTCAAACTTTGCTAATGATGTGGCCAAATGCTATTTAATACAGTTTAAGAAAATTGTTAAAGGGAAAGTATTACATCTATTACGAAATGGGAACAATAAACATTGAAAATGTAAACAAAGACAACCACTAAAGAGAGTGCTGTGAGCGTTCACATTCAGATAATTTCTGCCAAATTACTGATACTTAAAAATAACTCTTACATCTAATGATTTGAACGTCATGGGTAAACACATACATGACCAAATCAATCTTCCCAAATTCAGAACTACATATTAAACATTAAGTATGTTTATATTTGTAATGATTTCAAAGCTCCTACCTTGCAGCGTTTCAATAAAATTCAGAAAGTAAGAGGCAACAACGTATGGATTGTTGTTCGTGTTAGACACTTCAAGCCACAATATCTTCCTGGAGAACCTGAAAAAGAACGGGAATTGTTTACAAACGAATATGGATGGACAAGTGTACATACATACATACATACATACATACATACATACATACATACATACATACATACATACATACATACATACATACATACATACATACATACATACATACATACATACATACATACATACATACATACATACATACATACATACATACATACATACATACATACATACATACATTTGTGCTAATGCCGTACTGATTTAATGGTCTTCGAAGGTTTATTGTAAATTCAATATTTGTAAGAGCTACGATGAGCTTCATTATAAGGTCAATGGCGCAGATTTACCCATTCACATACTTACGCAAAATAAACGCAAGTGAAGTTCTGTGTGTATGAAATGCCCAAAATAATAATTTGTGAAAACAAACATAAAGAAACGTATTGAAGAAACGCTGTTCACTGTTTACGTTATTCTTTTCGAACACGTAGCAGGAACGCATTCGTTTTTCCTCGTTTGACGTTTTTTGCACGTGCAACACAATACACATGAAACAATGCGTGCATTTCACCCTTTGTCCATTCTCTATAAGCTCCCGTACAAAAAACTGCAATGGGCCGCACAGCACCTGAGTTAGCGGCGTCAACGGTGGCTATAAATTGTCTCCTCAGAACCTCAAGGTTCAACCTCTCCCACCCACATCAGAGTGTTGAAACGACGTATTGTGAGTTGTGCTAGCTTCTGTGTCGTACAGGCCAACCGATGGGGAGGAGGAAGCATTATGGGGTGGGGAGGCTGCAGTTACGATCACAGGACCCCTCTACACGTGTAATGTCAAGGTGTGACTGCTGTCGTGTACGACCCGTGAAAATACGGGGTCGAATAGGTCTTCAGCAACCCATGCATGCCGTAAAAAGCAACAATGTTTGTCGTAAGAGGCGACTAACGGGATCGGGTGGTCAGACTCACTGACTTGGTTGATATTTGCCATCGTATCCCAATTGCGTGGATCGATGCTCATGATGTCAATCACTGGAATGTCTGGTCCAGACTTGATTATTTACAGACCGCCGTCATATAGCTGGAATATTGCAGAGCGCGACGTTAAACAACGAACGACGAAGCTGTCATGTACCGGGATGATATTTTTCGTAATCACGTCAGACCTCTCTTCCTGGGTCAACTTCAACTCCAGGTCTTTCAGCAGGACAACGCTCGTCCCCATACAGTACAAGTCTCTGTGGACTTCCTCAGACTGAATAACATTCCTGTGGAGGCTTTGGCTGTCTTTGTCATCGGCGCCAGTTGAGCATGACTCTTTTCTCGGGTGGGTTTGGTGATATTCAAATAAACACGGATGGTTTCCATCAACCAATCGATGCTTATTTGGTATCAAGTGTTTTCTCTGTTATCATTTATTGACATTATCAACATATCTTTTATAGCCTTAGCGTTATTGCATGCAATGCCCAACTTGCGTTTCTTTTGCGGTAACTTAGCTTATTTACCCGCATATGGCTCCGTGAATTGCAAAACCAAATGGTTTTAATTTATCATTACCGTCGATATGGACGAGATAATTTGGTCCTTTGTTAATGTAGACACGCCTTGGTAGCCGATGGCAAGACCTCATGTCCACACCTTCTGGATCTAACTCACGCTGAAGCTGGAGGACTGTATCTCTGAAAGTTTATTTTACGATTTTGAGCAGGGTTCAAAAGTGATGTTTTATG